GTCACCCCTCCTCCACCCTTTCCTTGCATGATAATGGAATATTAATCTGTTTTAATGGTTATACATGTGGAACAGAAGTTACAACTCCCAGTTCAGGCACTGGGTTGTTAATCATTATTGTCCTGATGGAAGATCTAATCGCTCTTTGTAAAAACTACTTTGGTGTATGACAAATGATGTGATTTTTTAGAATAAAAATTAGATATATAACAAATACAATACCCAGTCCTTTTCCCCAATGGGGACCTGAAGCTGCATTGTTCTCCTGTCCTCCATTTAATCCTCTCAACAACCTTGTGAGGTGAGGCTGAGAGTGTATCACCCAGCAATTTCTATGCTGAGTTGAGGATCTGAGTATTAGAGACACATGACAGGTTGCTTAAAAGCTCTTGTCATGAAGATAACCTGGTTCAGGGTGTGTTCCAGTTCATTTTTGGCCCTTCAACTTCCATCATCATTTTTAGGTTAGTGGTCAATTTTCAAACATGTAGCATTATTTTCTGAGTTATGCCTGCCACAGAGACCCTTAGCTTCAGTTGCAAATAGCATGGTATGGTGGTAGTTTGTCTCACCTGGGGCAGGATTTTCCCATGCTTTTCAGTTTGGGCCATGATCATCCTGAAGCTGGTGGCCAATTCTGAGTCTCCTAGCTTTTTTCTCTGATGAGTCATGCCTGTAAGTGTGGTGTAGTGGTTAAAGTGTCAGGCTAGAATCTGGGAGACTGAGGTTTGAATCCCTGCTTTGCCATGGAAGCATGCTGGGTGACCTTGGGCCAGTCACACACACTCAGCTTAACCTCCCTCACAGGGTTGTTGTGAGGATAAAATGGAAGAGAGGAGAATGATGTAAGCCGCTTTGAGTCCCCATTGGGGAGAAAGGTGGGATATAAATAAAGTAAACAAACAAACACACTTGGACAGGCAGGCCAGTTCTTTTATTGATTCATGGTAACAGCAAGCCAAGTGATTAGTTCGTTATGATATTTGATTTGGATCAGGGTCATATGCAGGGGGGAGGCAGATGGAATCTTTGTTCAGGGGGCCATGGTGGCTCTCGGCAGGGGTAATCATGAAAAATTATGGTTGGTTTTTAAAGAAATGGGTGTGCCACAACATCTGATTGTTTTGATGTGCAACCTCTACTCTGGACAAGAGACTACTGTTAGGACAGAATATGGCGAAACAGAATGGTTTCCAATTGGCAATGGTGTCAGACAAGGATATATTTTACCTCTCTCTCTGTTCAATCTACATGCAATACATGTCATAAGGAAAGCTGGATTAGATTTAGATGAAGGTGCAGTGAAAATTAGTGAAAGGAAGAATAAGAATTTGAGATATGCAGATGATACCACATTACTGGCAGAAAAAAGTGAAAACTTGAAATGACTCCTGATGAAGGTTAAAGCAGAAAATGCCAAAGCAGGATTACAGCTGAACATCAAGAAGACAAAACTAATGACCATCTGGGAATTATACAGCTTTAAAGCTGATGATGAAGAAATTGAAATTAAGATTTTCTGTTCCTTGACTCCATTATCAATGAAAAGGAAAGTTGCTACTAAGAAATCAGAAGGCAATTGAGACTGGGAAAGGCAGCCATGAAGGAACTAGAAAAGATCCTTAAGTGTTAAGGACGTGTTGCTGGTGACCAAGATCATGATAATTCACACTGAAGTATTCCCCATTACTATGTATAGGTGTGAAAGAAAACTAACAGGAAGAAACTTGACCCATTTGAAATGTGGTGTAGGAGGAGAGTTTTATTGGTACCGTGGTTTGCCAAAAAGACCAATAAGTGGGTTCTAAATCAGATCAAGCTTGAAGTCTCCTTAGAAGCTAAAATGACCAAACTGAGGTGATTGTACTTTGGTCACATTTGGTCACTCACAGGAAAAGACAATAATGCTAGGAAGAATTGAAGGCAGCAAGAAAAGAGGATGATCCAACAGGAGATTAATTCAGTAAAGGAAGCTATGGCTCTCAGTTTGCAAGGACATTTTGGAGGTCATTAATTCATAAGGTCACCCTGGCGAGGAGGGTGGGATATAAATTGAATAAATAAATAAATAAATCAGAGGTGACTTGATGGCACTTGGCACTTAACACATCTCACACAATCAGGGTTAGTTTGCAAGACTTGAGCAAGACTGTTAATGATAGAACTTAATGCACGGCACTTAATGCACACAAAGCAGTGACTGAAGGGCTAAAATGAAGTATAGAAGACTGGTAATTCAGTCTGGTCTTGATTTAGATAGTTAAATTACTTTCTTGTATTTGCTCTTTTGAACATCTGTCTTTATTTTAGTTTTGAAGTTGCCCTGCTAACTTTTGCACAACACCACAATGAATTAACCGCGTGTCTCCCTTTTGCTTACTGAAGACTATGCTAGGGGAGTGTTAGAATGATAAATATTCAGACTTTATTTTTCTTGTAGCTTACAACACTGAGAGGAGCTATTTTAGAAGATGCTATTCCCTCAACTGCTAGACATGGCACAGCACGAGGCCTGCCGCTTAAGGAAGTATTGGAATATGTAATACCAGAACTGAGCATTCAGTGCCTGAGGCAAGCTTCCAACTCACCGAAAGTCTCTGAACAGCTGCTTAAACTGGATGAACAAGGGGTAGGTAATACATTGCATTGCCTGTACTTGTGTGACCATGTGTTATCTTACTGAAATATCTTGTTATTCTGAATGTAACAGACTTGAACCTGTAGCTTGCAGAACTGAGAATTTTCGAAACAATTACCTATAGTAACTTAGCTTCAGAACATTAACCTATTTGCTTGAGACATTAAACTGTCTCAACATTAAACTGTCTCAAGACTCTCCTCCCACAACATAATTTAGTATTCATATTGCAGCAGGATATTACTTGTAGTTAGTCAGCAGGTTCCGGGAAAAGTTTAGAACAGCACAGTATGGAAAACTGCCAATATATAGCATATTTGCAGATTGGACTATATAAGAAAATACAAAATGTATCAGTGTTTAAACCAGAAGAAATGTAGGCATCTAATTTTCCTGTCTAAATTAGCATACTTTATTCACATCTTGGTTGCCAGCATGAGGCTGGCAACCAGTGGGAGACTCTCCTCCCTCCTGAAGTGGGCCCTGGCTGGAAATGTAATGACATCACCTTTGGTCACTGTGTCATCTGCACATTGCTGGTGATACTCGGGTATTAACCAAAACTCTATGGTTTAACCATATAGTATAACCATAGAGTTTTCACTGATTGCTAGAGTGTCACCAGCAATGCAGTGATGTGACTTCTGGTTGTGCCAGAAGTGACATCAGTGCATTGGAATGTTGCCATCCCCCATTTCCCCCCTATTTTCTCCCATTGCCCAGCTGAGTGGCAGTGGGAAGGACCCACAGGGGATGAGAGTTCCTTCAGCAGGCATATAGCAATGCTATTCACAGCAGTAATATTCTTAGTGATGTGAAATGTATACTTTCTAACATAATTAGCATATTAAACTGTATTAACCGTCATATTTATGCAGTGAAAATGTTTAAATGACTTAGTTTTCTACAAGCAAAATTATTTAATACTTGGGGGGGGGGTGCAGAAACTGCTGCATCCTGTATTAAACTGTATTAACCGTCATATTTATCCAGTGAAAATGTTTAAATGCCCTAGTTTTCTACAAGCAAAAATATTTAATACTTGGGGGGGGGGGTGCAGAAACTGCTGCATCCTATTGCTTCCTTAGCACATGCATCTTAATTTTGCCCCATAAAAGAAAGGGGGGGGAGTTGAAATTAAAAAACAAAATTTTGTAATGTATTAACTAGAGATGTGAAGGCCTGGAAAAAAACTGGAAAAATTCTGGAAAAACGTTTTCCGTTTTTTTCCTGAAGCCTTTTTTGTTTTTTTTCCGAAAAATTGGAAAAATTGAAAAAAGAAAAGGAAAAAAATGATTATGGAACATTCTATTTCAACCTGATGAATAAAATATTTTATGACAAGGGGTTCAAATATTTTCCAAATCATTTCTAAAAGTATGTATGGTATCAGATTGATCTAATCTCTGTGCACTGAGGACAAGCAAGTCCTAGGTTACAAACTGAACTCTCCAATGCAAGAACAAGATGCATTTCTTCCTTTAGGAGGTGCTATTGTCACAAGAAAAGAAAAAGGTTTCAGTTTTGTTTTTGCATGTGGGTGGGTATTCTGTTTGTAATAATTGTTTGGATACACTATATTTTTAATATGCTAGTTGTGATAATTTCATGCCAAGTTAAAATGTCCATAGTCATATTTTATGTTCCTAAAGTAACAGAATGACTTTCAATCTAGAAAACAAAAGAAATGCTAATACATCTCTAGTATTAACTCTCATCCCCTGTAGGTCCTTGTCTTAAAGTGTTTCACTTTTTAAAAAAGAAAAAAAGATAATTGGAATTTTTTTCAGTGCTCTCCAAATTTTTCATTGGAAAAATTGGGGGAAAGGCTTAGGAAATGATGAGTCTTCACGCCTCTAGTCGTAACTGCAATCCCGAATGCATAGGTTTAATTTGTACCAAGAAATATTTTTCCATATTTTGTTTTGCCCTCTGTCATGAACTCACTAGGCGACTTTGGGGAAGCTGTGTAATCTTTCAATCTCAGCCCCATCTATATATATGAAAGAAAGTCTCCTCACTGTAAAATCAACGCCCAGGCCAAACTGCTGGACCTAGAGACACCAGATTCGGGGAGAGCACTCCTACCGTGGCGTAGGTGCTCGCTAAGAAGGGATTTTTAGACATTTGACCCCTAAGTGGGTCAAAAGGGGTAAAATGTGCTCCCCCCATTGATTCCTATGCAGCTGCCAGGTGGCTGCCTCCCTGCACCCTCCACTCTCTGACTGGTCAGGTGCAGACTTCAGTGTTCTAAGGTAAAAAAAGCCAACAGTTACAGAGGACTGCAGAGAGCTAATGACAGTTGAGGAAATCAGAAGTGGCCAAGAACCACCTGTGAGGTGAAGCAAAGCTGCTGGCCCAGCCTCTCTGATGGCTTCCAACACACTCCCCCCACCTCCTACACCTAACAGGCGGTTGTCTGTCAGGTGCAGCCCTACCTCCACCGTGGCTTCTAATACTCCTCCCCCTCCTTCTCTTACACTGGACAAGCAGCTGCCTGTCAGGTGTAGGAGAGGAGGTGGGATGCTTACAGCCGCCGGGGAGGTTTGCTCAGCAGGATTGCCTTAACACTGCTGCTGGCCCAGCCTCCCTGATGCCTTTAAATACAATCCCCCCCAACACCAGAAAGGCTGGTGTCTGTCAGGTGTAGGAGCAGGGCCAGGGTATGAATGTTTATGGCGAGATAGTAAAGGACATTTCTAGGAGCCATTTCGATGTGTGCCTCCCCCCTCATGAACCTGAAGAAATGTCCCCCACATCACCACTCCTTCACACCAACTCTCCCTCACACCTCTCACCTCTTACTGCTCCCAAGAAAGCTCCTGGCAAACATCGAGCCAGGTACACTAATGCAACAAGGAGGAGGCAACTTAGGATTGTGGCAAAGACATTTGCACATAGTACTCCTGCAGTGCACTGAGCTGCACAGGCCAAGTACCAGCAAGATCACCCTGAGGTGCTCAGAACAACACAGTCTCCATTTGAGCAAAACAATCCAGGAACACCTGAGGGCAGAACCTCCAATGTGGTCTAGAGAGAGATCCTTCGGTAGAGGAAAAAACACATATGTATGTCTCACTTGATTTCTTACACTACAGTCTTCTCCTTTAGAATTCCTACAACAAATGTCACATTTCAAATTTCGCATCTTCAGTATTATAACTGGATTTACGGAACTTAAATTCCGTAGTGAAGCACGGGTAGCAGGCTAGTGTCTATAATATGAGTATTATAATGCTTACTTTATAAGGATATATTAAGAAGTATTGTAACAGGATAATACATGTGAAATATGAATACCTGAAATATGTTGTCAGGGTGGTAGGAGTCAGTCTCTTATACATATTGTGACTAAGGTGTTCTCACTTTTACTAGCAAAGCGAGAATATTGAACCTTTCAGATGTTTATGTTGTTTACTTATCTATATATACAATTTGTCACTTGTAATGAAGACACAAGACAGAAGCTCCTGGGTTATACTAGACTTTATTAAAGACTCATCAGTAAAATTCTTACTATACTTTTGAGGGCAGGTTGCTGCCTAACTAGCAGCCTTCCCTGGCTCCAAATTGGGCCAGAATTCCAGCTGGCATCATTTATCATGATTTGCACAAAACAGTATAATGAGATTTTTAAGCCTCATCTGCCTCCTCCAGTGTGATGCCCAGAAAACAATTGCCAATTGTCTTACCTATAGTGCATCAACCTGCCCTGTTTCTGCTACCTAGATATGGCCTAATGAACTTAGAGAATGGTCTGAATTACATAGACATACTAACTTGGAACAATGCAGAACAGGTGGGGAGGGGGAGGATCTTTCCATTGTTAATTTGAATGACACCCCACCCCCATTCCTG